ATCAGGCCAGGTCAAATTCACAGGTCAGGTCAGGTCAGCAGGTCAAATCACATCAAATCAGGTTAAATCACATCAGGTCAGGTCACATAAAAAAAACGGCCAGACCACATCATATGTGATCAGATTACATTAGATCAGGCCAGATAGCATCAGATAAGGTCAAATTAGATTAGGTCAGATTACATCAAACCAGATCAGGTCATTAAATAACATTAGATCAGATTATATCAGATCAGGTCAGATCAGAGGTCAGATCATATCAGATAAGGTCAAATCAGATCAGGTCAGATTACATAAGATCAGGTCAGATCCACAGGTCACATCAGATCAGTTCAGATCACATCAAGCCACTTCAGTCAGGTCATATCACAGATCCTGACCTGATGATATATTATTTGACCTGATCTGATGTGAGCTGATCAATATGATGAAATCTGACCTGATCTAATGTAATCATGTGATGTGGCATGCAGATCAGATGTTATCATCAAATAAGGTAAGATCAGGTCAGACCACATATTACATATCAGGTCAGATCACATCATATCACATCAGATTACATTTCAGATTCAATCAGGTCAGATCAGGTCATGGGTCAGATCAGGTCAGCAAATTAGATCAGATCACATCAGATCAGGTCATAAGGTCATTACATGATCACATCAGATCAATTACATCGCATAATATAAGGTTAGATCACATCAAATCATATCAGTCAGGTCATAATACTTCAGATCAGATCAAATCAGACAAGGTCAGTTCACATCAGATCAGGTCAATTCAGTCAGATCAGATCAGGTCACATCAAATACAGTCAGTCCCATCACATCACATCAGAATGTCAGATCACATCATGTCAGGTCACATCACAGTTCATATTGCATTATATCAGGTCAGATCTCATCAAATCAGATCAGGGTCAGATCACATCGGATCACATCAGATCAGTCAAGTCAGATCACATCAGATAGTTCATACATCATCAGGTCAGATTACATCAATCATATAAAATCAGGTCAGACATCAGATCAATTCAAATAGGTCAATTCACGTCAGATCAGGTCAGGTCACATCAAATACGGTCAGATCACATAGGATCAGATCAAATCACTTCAGATCACATCACAGGTCAGATACATCAGATTCAGTTCACATCAGATCAGGTCATATTACATCCAGATCAGGTCAAGTCAGATCACATCAGTCATATAAAATCAGTTCAGATTTTATCAAATCAAATCAGATCAATGTTAGATCAGTTAGGTCACATCGGATCAGGTCATCCACATTAGATTACTGTAAGATCAGTTCATATTTAATCAGATCAGCCACATCAGGTTCATATCACATTAGATCAGGCCATCAGGTCAGGCTAGATCACATCAGATCAGGTCAATTCACGTCAGATAAGATCAGGTCACATCACGTCGGATCAGGTCAGATCACGTAAGATTACATAAGATCAGTTCATAATGCATCAGATCAAGTTAGATCAAAATAGGACCAGGTCAATTCACGTTAGATTAGGTCCGGTCTCATCAAATACGGTCAAATCACATGGAATCATGTCACATGATCAGTCAAATCGCATCAGATCAGGTCAGATTACATAGATAAAGTTAGATCGTATTAGATCAGATTCACATCAGATCGGGTCACATGAAATATATCCAGATCACATCATACCAGGTCCCTTCACATTAGATCAAATTCACGTCAGGTCACATTAAATACGGTCAATCACATCGGATCAGATCAGATCACAACAGGTCAGGTCAGATCACATCACTTCGCATCAGATCAGGTGACATAAGATAAGGTCAGATCAGTTCAGATCACATCTCATCATGTCAGATAGGTTCAGGTCAAATAACTTATCAGGTCAGATCATATCAGATCAAGCCAGGTTACATTATATCAGTTCAGATCACAACACAGCAATTCAATTCAATTCCTTTATTTATTTAAGTGTCACGATACAGCACATCACTCAATCATATATAATTTTACAGTTGTATCCGGTCTTTGAGGACTTGATGAATTAATGAATAAACAAAATAACTTAAAAATACTCGAATATTCCAAAGTTTTGATAGCTTTAAAATACCGAAATCCTTCTCGATCAATCCGCTATCACTAATTTCATTTGATGAAACCACTATTCTTTAATCACTAGGCATTGTTAGAGAGAAAAATTCAGCGGTATGAGTTAGTTTACAGGACACGTCGAGGGAGACATTCCTATAAGCAAAATAACCTCGCGAATAGATAACTTCCCTGCAGTTTCAACTCTACTTTGAAAGTTGTTTGCTTCTTGGAATGTGTGAAAAAATACAGTGTATTATTATTCATACACAAACACACATATATATACTTATATATGTATGTGTGTGTGCATGCATGAATATATGTGTATGCATGTATATGTATATGTTTATTTACTGCAGATATATATACTATATATATATATATATATATATATATATATATATATATATATATATATATCCTGGACCCATACACACTGCGATGCTGAATGAATGTATTGATGAACGCATATAATGTCCAGGATGCATACTTGCACATGTGCAAACACACACAAACCTACGCTCACAACCCTAAATGTACTTAATCGTGTGTGCTTGAACGGATGAACGATAAGTATTCACCTATTCCATGCCTCCTTTCTACTTAATTAATTTTGACCTTTGCCTTGAATACCCCTTCGCTAATCCTTCGCAGGTGTCCTTAGCCAGAGATCGGACAGAAGGCCAGTATAAAGGCTGCGCTTGACGGAGAACACAGCAGTTTCCACCGGACTCTGGAAGGAACAAGATGGCGTTCGCGAAGGCCTTGTGTCTGCTCCTCATTCCTTGCCTCACGCTGACTCGGGTAACTCCGCTATTCTTTTGCTTTTCATTTCTTCGTTTCCTCCGTTCTCCTTACTTTAAGTAAATATCCAAATTATATGCATTATCTATATGGTGCTGCATTGCGTTTTCCTTTCAAAATCTTTCTATATGTAAATTCACGTCTATTGAAAGAATGAAACGGTTACCTATATGGCCATCTGCACCAAGGAGAGAAACTCTCCTTGGTATTTCGTAATTATCAATTTTCATCCATTTATCGCTACTTACTTGTCAAATGTCCTTTCAGAGCGTGCATGGAGAGACAACCCCGGATTACAACATATATAACGTAAGTTTTTTAAATCTTTCATTGCACTATAGTTTCACAAGGTCTTGCAGCAAGAGATGTTTTGCGAAATAAACGAAAGCAAAATGTATGGCTCTTAACCTTCTCCCTTTCCATATTAATCAAAATTATATCCGTTCTATGGCGTTGCCTTGTGTCATCCTTTCAAAATCTTTTGATATGTAAATTCAAGTCATTTGAGCGAAAGAAACAGCTACCTTTATGGCCATCTGCACCAAGGAGAGGGTCTTCCGTAAACATTAATTTTATCTATTTATCGGCACTCACTCGTCAAATGTCCTTTCAGAGGGTACTTGGAGAGACGACCCCGGATTACAACATATATGACGTAAGTGTTTTTTAATTGTTTTTCCTGCTTTCTAGTTTTACATGGTTCTATAGCAAGAGATATTTTACGAAATAAAAGAAAGATGTATGGCTCTTAGCGCAGATTTACTGACGAATACTTGATTATAAAACTGTAAAGCAACGACTGTCAGCGAGTTTTTATGATAGATCTAATCCATTATTCACTTGAATTATGTTTTTCTGTTTTTATGCTTCAACAGTTCCAGTGTAGAAGCCACTTCAAGCTTTCACATATGTTATGTAGGTGAAATATAACCAGAGGTATTCAGTCATTACTCAGGTTCACTATGCGGTTATGATTATTTTATGTAGTTTATTCCTCTTTTTCCTCTCCCAAAAAATATGAAACAGCCGTACTTTTACATGAAAGTACTGTGGATGTAAGAATATTTTCTGATATCTCAAATATTAACCTTTTCCCTCCTAGGATGAGCGGCAGGACAGCACCGAGCCGCATTTTGTACTCAACCGCGTAAGTACATCAGCATCATGATAATCATAATGATAACGATATTTACAATAAAAGTAATAATCACAGTGGTAATAACAATGGGAAAGTAGTGCATTAAATTGGTTTTAGGAAAATACAATTACTTCAGTTGGTTCATTAAACTCGTTTCGTTAAGTATCATCTGGAGAGTTTGTAACCAAAAGCACCAAGTACATTCTAGAGAATCGAATAGACGATTCCTCGTACTCCAATATGTAACATTTCATTTACCATTTTAATATTGATTTTGACTTGAGTTCTGCCTGTACTTGTTAGACAAGAAGAGGCGTACAAGTCAGTTGTGGCTATTTTGTAGGTCAACGTATCGCTTGTCATATAATAATCATTTTTTTTTTTCTTTCACAGAATATGAAAGAGCGTAGTATACCCAAAGAAGGCTTTACTATTCTGGTGAGTGAATGTGCCAGATATCTATATACATTGTAGATTGTAGATTGCTGGTATGAAACACGAATGAGTATATCACCTTGAGTTTATAAAGCTGCAAAAAGGCTATGATGGCCGCATGCTAAACGTGCGAAACAAACAAGTTTGTCACTCATGGCGTTCCTGTCCCTTCGTTCACAGCCGAAGCCCTTCGAGGAGACCAATCCCGACCGAGTCGAGGCCGGCCAGCTGTTCGACAAGGACATGCTGCTGACGGAGGCGCAGTGGAGGGACCTCGCCTTGAGGAAGGGCCTGGCCTCTCAGAACTACCGCTGGCCAGAGAGCGGAGACGGCTTCCCGCACGTGCCTTACCGCTTCGCCGACGGTCAGTGGTCCTGCGAGGAGTGACTCGGCCGACTTGGTTTTTCATTTGGAAAAAATATTTGTTCATAAAGAAGAAATGTCACTCATGAAGTCTCTCCCAACCCAGCTAACGTGGACCAGGTCGCGGTCAAAGCCGGCATCGCGCACTGGGAGCAGCACACCTGCCTCAAGT